TTTTTTTAAAAAAAAAGCAAAAATAGGACAAAAGGAGAAGGAATGGTTTAAAAAAAAAAAAAGAATGATCATGCCATTTTATAGATGAGGAGACTGAGGCTCAAGAGACTGAGTAACTTATTGGGTCAAAGTTGCATGGTTTCAGTCAGGATTCAACCTCCCGCTCTATTCCCAGTTTCCATTCCTCACTGGGTCCATCGTTTTCAAATAGGCGTGGCTCTTCCTGGTTCTGAATCACCTCTTACTGTCCTTCCTGCCGATAAGCTACATTTCCGTTCCTTCACTGATGGTTTCTGAAGTGAGCACTTCCGTACCTGCCACCCCCCACCATCACCATTACCACGCTGACCCAGGCCCTGGCTCATGCCAACAGTCTTGAAGAGGTTGCTCTAGTCTGCTGAGTCCTTCAGTCCTTCAGTGTCAGTTTTACTTTTCACTCTAGCACATTCCATCTTGTTTGTTGACAAGACTTTTCTAGGCATTTTCATCATCTGTGGCTTCTGTTCCATCATGTTGTCTTGCTTTTTGTCTCCCTGACAACACAACAGTTTGACTCATCTCTCAGTATTTTTTCTGTAGTATTTAGTATTTAATTTAATTTTCTGAAAGAAAATTTCTCATTTTCTTTTTGAAAAAAATGTCCTCCCTTTATTTTTCTATTTATCATTTACTCAGGACTATGATATATTTATTTTTAGTGTTATCCTTTTATTAGTACTCTAGTGCCACTTTGTAATGTTCTATTAATAACAATTTAAAAAATCAATATCGGTTAATACACAGTATTGGTGAAGAGGTGGGAAAATGTAGTTCTCATGCATGCTACTAGAGGTATAAATTGGAATAGACAGACTGCTTTATACTTATCATTATTTTACAGTAATTTTTTAAATGTAGAGCATGCTTGAGGGAGTTCCTTGACTAGCTTTGGGATACCTCCTTCTTTTCTGTGCTGCCAGTTTCTCTGTACCCTTCTTTGTTTTGTGTTCCTGTTTGCCCAGGGTTACTGTCTGCTGGAGATAAACTGGTGGAAGTGAACGGCATCTCAGTTGAGGGACTGGACCCTGAGCAAGTCACCCATATTCTGGTAACCATCTCTTCTTCAACTTCTTCCTGACTTAGTGACATGTCATGAGTGAACTGGCCCATCAAACCCACAGTATGTGCATATAAAGTGAGGGACACATGGTCTCTCTCACAGCTTCCTCTTCCCAGGCCCCCAGACCTCATGTCTCATGCAGCTCCCCCTCTTCTTTTTCCCTCCCTCTATTCTGGTTCCTGGTGGGAGACTTTGCTCCCCAAGCTTCCCTTTCAGCCTCAGGAAGCCCACCAGATTCCCCACATCAGATCCCTCATCACCTGGGTTTTGCCACTGGTGTTTAAGTCCAGGGTGGACAGGATGACACCAAGCATGCCACCCCTCGCTCTGCTGATGGCTTTATACAACTGTGGCCTTTTAACATCTTCCCTGAGACAGACTTGGGCAAAAAAGAAATCACCAGAAGGCAGCATATTGGGGAAAGGGAAGTCCTTGCTGACCTTACCACTGTCCTTGGTCTGGGATTAATGGTTTCATTAATGAGCCTTTGGTCTCTTTTAAGTCCCCAATCCCCACTATTCAAACCATTGCTTGTATCAGAGACCAGCTGTCGATAGCCTTAGCAGCAAGCCCCTCTCACCTCCCCTCATGCACACCCCAAGTGTGGGGTCTGAGGTTGAGCACTTAAACTGGGTTCTTGGAGGACCCCTGGATTTTATTTTAAAGATTTATTTATTTATGCATACAAGAACTGGCGTACAAGCCAGAGTGTGACCTCACCAGAAACAGAGTGGGGAAGAGAACAGGCAGATCCACTGAAATGCACTGCTGAGGGGAGCAGCAGGTGGATCAGGAGAGGTCTGCTGTGCCATGTGGGTCACCTCCTTGGCTGGGGATCAAACTCATGCTGCAGTGGCTGCAGGAACTCTCACAGTGCTTTGCTTTAACCTGTTGCGCCAGCAGGGAGGGCCCAGACCCTGGGTTTTCATGGATGTGCCTTAGGTACTAAGAGGAGGGTGTATCATAAGGCATACACCAAGCATCTATACATTTACAAACAACTGCTGCAAGGTCTGAAAAGGGAACATCAAGTGCAGACGGTCACCATCACACATGCCTCCACCTCAGCCCCTTTGGTGCCAGGACAATGGCTATGAAATTTCTAAGCATGCGCATGAAGCTGTGTGACTCTCAGCTCTCTAGAGCCTGTCACAGTGGATTCTTGCCTCCCCCAATAGGCTAGGATGTTCTCTGTCTCCTCCAGCTGAGGGACTCTCATTGCCACTACTGCTTTGGAAGATCACCAGTCACCTCAGAAGACTTGGAATTCCCTCTTCTTCCCCTTCCTGTTGGCCTGCTGGTGCAGAATGTTGTTCAGGAAATAATCTCTACCAGTGGTGTGAAGAGGGACAGTCACTCCAAGATCCCACTGCTTCCCCAGCGCCTGTGGGAACATGATCCTGGTGGAAGTGAAATGTGGAGCTCATGGCAGAAGCCAGGTCCTAGTGTGGGATTTTGCAGACCAGTGACCCCACAGTCCTGCAACAGGACAGAAACAAATGTTAATTTCTCCCTCTTCTCATTTTTGGGTGGTGATGTTTAGTTGCTGAGACCTGTAAAAGTCCTTGTGGGAGATAACACCATTACACCTGGGTGGGGAGAGTTGGCATGTCATCTGCAAACCCCAGGAACCCAGTGAACTTTGTGCTTTGTTCCCTCCATCCCCGCCCCCACCTTTAGGCCATGTCTGGTGGCACCATCATGTTCAAGGTGGTTCCCGTCTTGGATCCTCCTGTTAATAGCCAGAAGATGGTAAGTATTTACTGAACCTTTGTCTTCATATAGAGTGAATCCTGAAATAGCAACTAAGTTCTTTGCATCATGCTACTGCCATCTATAGAGGGTTGAACATCTGTTCAATACTGTGTGGGTGTTTTTCATTATTGAGGACATGAGACCCAAATCAGCCAATGGATACAAGAGGAGGTGGGATACAAGACGTTAAGAAGGAACCTCAAAGAATAGTGAACATTCACGCAAAACCTTCTCAGAGCTAGGAGATCCAATTCCAGAAGTCACCTTTCCTTTTTTCTTTCTTTCTTTTTAAGATGTATTTATTTATGCATACAAGAACAAGTATAGGCCAGAGGTGTGGGAGGTGAGCAGATTCATCTGAGACAGAGTGGGGAGCACAACATACAGGTTGACTGAAACACTGCTGAGGGGAGAGTGGGGAGACAGGAGAGGTCTGCTGCTCCATGTGGGTCAGCTCCCTGGCCAGAGATCAAACTTGTGCTGCAGTGGCTGCAGATAGCTTCATAGTGCTGAGACTTAACCCCTTGCACCACCAAAGGCAAACTCTCCTTTTAGTGAGAATGGAGAGGAAATACAGGAACAACGGGTGGAGAGGGGGGACAGATGGTTTTAGTCTGGACAACCTTTCTTAGTTAGTTGTGGACGAGGTTTCTTCTGATGGTGCCATTATGCACCTCCTGGCAGCTGTACGTTCGTGCCATGATGGAGTACTGGCCCCAGGAAGATCCCTTCATCCCCTGCATGGATGCAGGGTTGCCTTTCCAGAAGGGAGACATCCTCCAGGTTGTAGACCAAAGTGATGCCCTCTGGTGGCAGGCCCGGAAAATCTCAGACCTTGAGACCTGCGTGGGCCTAATCCCTTCCAGCCACCTACTGAAGAGGTAAGAAGAATCATGGCTCCAGGACTCAGCCCTGGGCCATTAGTAAAATGCCTTCCTGAGATTTCTGCTTTTCAGTTAAGCTGAGCTAAAAGAGATAAACAGATGGATGAACACACACACACACACACACACAGATTTATAAATCCCAAAGTCAACTTGTTGATAAGCCCTATGCATCTTAAATCCTAAAGGGATCAAATAATAATCTCAGCTAAAAAGAGAGGACAGCACTAAGGACTCAAAACTAGACACTGAAAGGAAGTTCTAACCCTCTATTAATCTTTCAAGTTTGAATTCAGCACCTCGGTCACTGACTCTTAACTTTCTCCATCACCTTGTGCTACTGAGGCCCAAGGGAGTGGGCATCGGTAGAAAGAAAATAGAAAAAGATCCAAGTTTCAGCCGGTGTTAAGAAATCAAGAAGAAAAAGAGTTGGCAAGGGAAGCTGAAAGGGAATAACTAATGAGGCAGGAAGAAAACCAAGACAATAAAGTTTCCTGATCAACAATGTTAACTGCTCTTGAAAGGAGAGAGAATTGACCATTGGGTTGGCAATATGGAGGTCACTAGTGATTTTGATAAAAGTAATTTCAGCGGAAGCATAGGGCCAAAATCTTAGAGAGTGGAATTTAAAGAAATTGATGACTATGAGGATGGAAATTCTGAGACAATTTTGTCTAAAGCAGGGCAGAGCAATGCAGAAATACCTAGAGGAGAAAGTAGGGTGGTGTGAAGATTTTTTAAGATGGGGCAAACAATACTCATGGGAATTATCCAGTGAGAGGGATCATTTTTGTGATAGGGAATTGTCAAGGTCCTTGAGCAGGCAAAAGGAGATATAACATAGTATATAAGTAAAGGGGTTGGCCTTAATCAGTCACCACAGCTGGTGCTTGGAGAAGAAATTTTCCTTTTCACTTAGGTGGAGGTAGAAGAATTCTAGGAAATATTCTATCCCAGGTGGATTTCACCTAGGTTGACCTGCATTGATTTTTTTTTTTTTTCCCTCACCGTGTATTTTTTTTGCACAGAAAGCAGCGCGAGTTCTGGTGGTCTCAGCCCCATCAGCCCCACCCCCACCTCCAATCAACCATGAGTGAGTGTGCTGATCTCAAACTTAGTGCGTGCAGCATGGAGAAGCCTGTTCCCCCTCTCCCGGACTCCTGGCCAAGACAGGATCCC